TACGCGTAGCTCGCATAGCCGAATACGCGCATGCGCACTAGCACACCGGGCTGTCACCGCCACCCTCCCTCCACCTTATATTTAATTTATTAGTGGTAAATGTTGGACTATAACATAAAATTCATTATAACTTTAAAAAGAATCATTAAATCGCATTAACTTTATTATACGAGTACCTAATGTCGACAATTTTGTTTTGTTTATGCTTGCAAATCTCCTTATCAAAAACAATGACTATCTTAATATGGTATATTATTCACTATTGCTCATATAGTGGGTTGACATTTATGAAACATTATAATGAATTATTTCTAGACATAGGCCTACGTCTTACTTACACAATATACTATTTTATTATGTAATCCTTATGGATGAGCAAAATTATTGCATGTTCTCTGGTAATATTTTTTTGTATATTATAATATAGCGCAAATCTTATAGGCCTAGTCTACTATATACGGCAAAAAATTACAGTGAAATATTTTTGTCAACATTAACACATAAATCAACCGACTTTTCAGGGTACTATAAAAGCTGCAAGTAAACCGTAGCAATCTTAACTGAAATTCATGAAACAGTAATAAAAATAAACAGTAAATTAGCAAATATCAACGAATATAAAATAATCTATATATTAATACGCAAGCAGTTTTCTTTTCACAGTCATAACTCAATAACGCCTTGATGGATTTTAAAGTTTGAGGTGTCAAATCAAAGGTATTTTCACGTAGATGTGCAAATACGTCTCAGAATATTAAGCAAGGGCACCACTTAAGTACATTTAAGGGCTAAAGTTTGGAAGGTGGCGCTATCTGTTGATATTAGATCAAACTCATTTCCTTTTGTTTACAAATAAAATAACATATGGACGTAGTTTGAAATAGTTTTTAAGGTTAACCACAGACTGCAGGACTTATTACTTACAGAGCAAAGCTGGAATTTTATATTTGTATTTAAACATCTGTTAACTAAGTCTGGTTCATAAATAAAGAGTTTACTAGCCTGACAACAAATTAAAGCCTGACAAATTAAACCTGACAACAAATTAATTGTTTGTAATGGTTGAATTTATTTACCTTACATCGTATTTTACTGAATTGTCATGTAGCTTTCGATACAGTTCGGTGTGATTAAGTGAATGTTTGAAAGTGATTATTCACAGGACAGTTACCCGTTACATTACAATATTATCATGTAATTTACAACGTGTATCAAAATTCCTTTGTAGTGTTTTCTGTTGATTGGTTAACTTTCCTATTTCATCTAAATTTAAAATTAAATGCCACCAGTAAGACAAAGAACTGTGAGTGGCTGGAGGGATCGCAAACGTGATCGCTTGCATCATCCTCCCAATTTGACGGATACAGAGTGGCAGTACCGCCGTCGTGATACATCCAATCTCCGACAAATTAACGTTAAATTTTTACATTTTGGTTGCTTACATTTTAAGCAAGAAAAGACTGGCCGAAACAGTTCAATTTTTACTCTTTGTTGCCATAAATGAAAGGTTCATTTACCTCATTTGCGAATTTCCCCATACTTTCAGGAACTTATTGGAGACTCCCAATCTGAAAACAGGGCTGTGAAGCTTGGATCCAGAAATTATCTGGGTAAAATTCGTCAATTCAATTGCGCCTTTGCCATGGTCAGCTCTGAAGCTCATTTTGACGAGAGGATCACACAGGGTATTTACAATTTCAAGATCCATGACAAGTTTTACCACCGAGTAGGTAATCTAATTCCTCAAGAAGGCCATGATCCTGAATACGCACAGATCTATAAGTACGACGTTGGCACTGGAACCCAACAGCGTATGTAAAACCATTCAAACAAAAATGAAAAAAATATGCGGGAAATAGGGTCACAGTGCCCAATTTGCCATTTGTCTAATCTTTTAAAACTGTGGCAGAAATTTATAGGGACGAGAGCTCCTAGGAGTCGAGTTAGATTCTTATGTGCATAGTAAGAGACCAAAGAAGTGGCTTCCCTCTCTACAATGATGCTAGCTGTATAGATGTCGCAGCTATTTTAATGCTGAAAAAAGAGCACCACCTGGCTAAATAAATCATTGTTTTTTTCTTAATTTCAAAAACTAATAGTGTTTAACGTTAATCCGTTCTAGATACGTCGTTAAATCTACTCTTATGTTCCTAACCGGAGACTTTGGTTCGGACACCTAATTTAAACATGCCTAAAACAGAACATATCGTAGAAATAATTTAACAATGCTATCGTACTGGTTGGCGTCAAGAGAGGGATTTAGCATGCTACATTACATTGGTCTGAAAAGCTTATTTTACAGTGTATGGTTGACATCTACGATTTCATAGAGGGCACCCGCGGCCTACAGTACATAAGAGATAACCAAAATAATTAAATCATTTAAATATTGTACCTTAGATTACTTTTTATAATTTTTTACAACGTAATATTTTTCACGTTCCAATAATCAGTCATATAAATTACTTTAGAGTGACTCTTTGATAGAGGTTTTGCTGTTTATGTTTTTTGTTCTTCATTATTTTATTTCAAGTTGCATTTTTGCTCGATTTCGAGCAACAGGTTATCTAGTATAGTAAAATAAACAAACAACTGCCGGCTACGTAGCCGTCAGACGTAGCTGCGGTGTGAACAGTGCACTGGCGACGTATTAATACACCGAATACGTCTGCAAACGTCTGGCTACGCCGGTGTGAACAGGCCTTAGTAAAAACCACTTAGATCCTGTACTATCGAGCAATAACTCTTCGTCACTAGAACTCGCCATCTCGACACGGCGGCTGACAAGCGACTGTACTGAGCGCCACTGTGTTTATGTCCCAGCTACCATCCAGGTAACCAGCGGTTAAGCGAGTAAGCGACCAGCCAGGCTACCAGCTACCTGCCCTGCTTCACTGTGTTTTTATCCTTATTCCTGTTATTATTTTGTTGTTGTAACATTTTAGTTTTAGTTTTTCTTCTCTATCAATTGACCCTGAATCTGTTCACCATTTCTTTGGTAATGAATGTTTTTATGCAATAAATTGCTCATGACATAAATGGTAACTTAATAAGCACAAATGGTTGCAAAGTGAGTTCAAACCCAGTAACTATTCTACCAACACAATCCGATTCTCTACACAATTTTAGAATACAAAGGTTCATCAGATTACATTCAGTTTGATTACACCATTGTTGATGAACACCAATAAAAACAATTCCACATAGAGCAGAGGTTTTATCTCCAAATCATTTGTGCATGATTGATGAACTCACAAACTCGATAAAATTATGCTTTCCGGAAATTTCTCTGTAGGGAAGAAGCTATTGCCATTGGTGGTACAGTAAGCCCTAGACCCTGGAGCAAACACAACAAAGTGCACTAGTTCAAATCTAACTTACTTCACTACGGTTTGTGCCGGTAACATTATCAGATAATTAATAAAGTGAGAGAAGAATGAGTGTAGGTTACAATGGAGTAAGATGATCTATGTAGCTTTGTTACTGTTTAAGATCAGCTGTTCCATTAGCCAGAATCATTTATTCAAAACCAGATCAGGAACAGCTGGGTATAGTTTCGAACCATCAAAAAGCTACTGACTTTTCTCAAGATCGATCTGGCAACCTTTTAATTGTTAGGGGAGCAGTATAACCACTCGGCTACCCAGTTACCGTGTCTTGTTATATTGATCAGTGTGAGGGAAAATTTACACTCCCTCCAAGCATAAATAATTTTCTTTAATTCGAATACTGTGGAATAGGGATCAACCTTTATTGAAACCTGCGGTCAGTTATTTCAGGATTTCGGGAAAGCACATTTACACAACGAGGAAGCAGGGGCGGTTGGGGAAACTGCTTACTGACCAGCAGGTTTAAGTCCACCAAGGTTTACCATTGTACTTGATTGTCTTAGAGAGACGTAAAATAATATCAGTTTGGCAATCTCTCATTCAGTCACACAGCAATCAGCATACTAAATTTCTTTAACTTTAGTCACTGTTACAAACATATGATGAATGATTACAGCCGGCCTATACTGTGAAAAAACGTAAAATTTGTACAAATATTTAATTTCACCAGGTCCAATTAATAAATGGGTCCAGGCCCAGGAGCGCTAGAGGTTTTAAGTTGACTAGGGGTGCAAGGAAAGAGAAAAAATGCCCCTGCTAGGAAGGAGGGAGAGAGCGATATTATCTCTCAGGCCCATAGTGCATCACAAGCGAACCGCGGGCTTGACGGTCACCTCTGCATTCCCTTCTCCCTTTACACACACTTTACTCGATTTATGTTCCTCAACTGATGATTGACATCAAAAGGGGTTAAAGATTGCGTGAAATGGTTACAATGTCGCCGTGATTGCAAGGGTTGCTCACATATGTTGCAGCAATTGCTTTTTCAACGTTTAGGCAGTTTTGAGTTTTAGTTTAACAGTTTAACACATCACTTGGTGAAACCTGTCGAAATCGACGGTTCCTCTTGAGGATTTACGCAAATTTAGTGAACTACCATTAAAAATGTGGTTGATGGATTTGTTGAATACAATGTTTCCAGTTATTTCATCGGCAACAGGTGGGCCAAAAGGTTTTCTTAATCTTACGTTTCTTCTTGTTCATGAGCTTTGTTGATGTTTAAAGTCTCTTCAACCATACGGGAAAAGAAGATCAAATAAAATTATTAGGTCTGTCATCTGGTAAAGTGAGTTAATATTACTGTGTTATACGCCGTACGGGATGATTAAATAAATACGCTTTACAGGAAAATTGTAATTGAGCGGACTAATAATCGAGCTGCAAAATCAGCAAGATTTCCTTTGATCAGTATGAGAAAGTTTAAAACAAACTGTTTGAGGATGGTCAATGTACCTAGTTCAATGAACAAATCAATAAAATGTGAGTTATATTTACTTTGAGAGAGGTTGTTTTTGGACGCTGCAAAATTCTCTGAATATTGGGAGCATGACCCAAGACCAAAAATAAACCACACACACAAACATACAATAAAAAGTAAAAAGAAAATCCTACCTGAGCAACGTTTTCAAAGTGTTCGTGACTTTTCTGGTAGACTCTTGCCTTCTGCAGGTTCCTTCCGACTCCAGTGTTTTTTCTTAGGAAAACTTCACCATGGTTTGCTAGCCAATCCAGCACCTGAAAATTAATAACAGAATGCGTAAGTAACTAAAACCAATCAATCTTCATAAATTAGAAAAAAAGGTTTTGTTGGTAGGAAAATTACAATATCTATAAAAACAGTTTGTTGAACTCAATTGCTCCTAGAATGGACTAGATGGTCCAACTTGTGATGAGCTAATACTAGCAGGCAAATTTAATTCTGAAATAATTATTGTTTCTCCTGAAAAATAATTCCACCCTGATGAAACCAGGAGCAAAATATTTGGGATAAGTACGTTTAAGTTTTTAACGGTTTGTCAAGCACAGGATATTCATTTTCCAGGTAGGCTAAATCTACGGTCTTTTGCTACGGTGATCTAGCTAATTGCTGTATGTAGTTTGTTTCTATACTCTATGAATAATTATAAACAAAAACTAACTTCTTGTTCAGCATTTTACTTGTTATTTCATTTCTGTAATTGTTAACAGTTGTTTATCATCTGCAGAATACATTTATCGGAGTGAAACACTAAGTACTATCTTTTATAACCAAACTTAAAAAGAGAGGTATAAGGAGAATCCAAAAAGTTGTTTCCAAACTGAATGTTTTAAATTAACCACAAAACAATCTTATCCCCTTCAAACAAACTACAATATCAGTTTTTTGCTAAAAATTAAATGGTTTTGGATGCGACTTCTATTAGTTTCCAAGAAAGAAAGGTAAAAGATATGACAACAATTACAACATTCCGAAAAGCCAAGACAGAAGCAATTAACTTCATATCTGCAGATAAGTTTTAACAGATTTTAAACTGATGAATAATTTAACTTGACTCAGTAAAAATGTTCTTCTAGATATGAAGGTGAGTGTTATACCCACTCACCTATCCAGATAATTTTACTGCTTACGACCCAAGTAATTTACCTGTTTGACGTCCTCCTGGAACAGCCTAAGCGCAAGTCTCTGATGCAGTTTGATCTTCTTGGAGTGCCAGCGATGCTCTAGACTGCGGTGATGGTTGAGGATCTGATGTATGACGGCCAGCACGTGACTGGCACCCTCCGAGTAGTCAGCTGCAGGGTTGCCACCCTGGCGACTACCCGACGACGAGTCCGACTGTCCACTCTCGCCCTGGGCATCACACAAAAATTATAGATTTTCTATTATAAATTTCTTTTATTAAAACATGCCAAGTGAGAATTTTCAAACCCTAATGTTAAACTTGAAAAGTAACCAAGTTCTTATATCAGACTCAAATTTTCATTTTAAAATCAAACTTTTTCTATTGAAGTCTTCTTAACCCATTGAGTACCAGTCTTCAAGCATTAGAAAAAACAATTATTTTCTTACAAGAATAAATCAACAAATAAGTAAGAATGAATATGAATGTTTTACCTTCTCCCGTTCCAATTCGCTGCTAATTTGCGACACGTTTTGTCAAACCAGCGACATCATCAGGCATCCACCATCCACTATAGCTTCGTCATCACACATGATTATTTACCCCCCAAAAACAATAACATACATTTGTGTGTCATCTGTGATGACCGTTTTATTTTTATATTCATGGCGAGGTGCCTGATGATGTCACTGTATTGACAAATTACAGTAGACTCCCTCTTATCCGGACACCTTTTAACCGGACTACACTCGGCGGAAATGACATCTGTTTAACCGGACAGTTTTTATCAGCACATTGGTTTAACCGTAATAGATCGGCAGGAAGTGGGCAGTACTGAAACGACTGTTCTCGTGGGAAAGATTTGAGACCAGTGATCACATATCTAAATACAATGCTCTCCTAAATTTAAGTTGAATATCACAGTAAACAGTCCGTTTTAATGAGTTTTTGGGGACGTCGGTTTAACCGGAAAACCCGTTATCCGGACTGGCCTCGGTCCCGAGGAGTCCGGATAAGAGGGAGTCTACTGTACATGGGATTTCACAAATTAGCATGGGATTGGAATGCCAGAAGGTAAAACTGGCATTTATAAATAGTTGACATTCCAGTAGTAGGAAAAATGAATTCTAAATATGTTGAAAATTAAAAATTTACTTTACGTTTTCTGCAACATTACAACTTTGACCTTTTAATTAGCAAGTATTTGATCATGGCATTGAAATTACGTCTTATAGATTGTGGCTCCGACCAGGACACAGCCCAATGGATCTAGAGTTCTAATTCCGTTAAGGTAATGTTTGACGTAAAATTATGAGGACTTTTGCCTGTCACCCAACCAAAATAAGTGATGGACATATCACATGATGGTAGTTGAGGTGAGTGAATTTCTTGAGTTGCATCTACAATCAGGCATTATGCTCCTTCTTACTTATCTTTACTGTATGTGTTCGATGTTTAGAATTTTTAGTCCAAAAGACAAGAATGAAATGTAACCTGTTAAATGTTTATTTTGAACTCAATCCTTGAAGCAAAGTAAATTTTAACTATTGATGAATTGAATACCATTCATTGACATCTTAAACTTTGATTAACTGCTTTCAATATTATAAGATACTGGTTTATCAAGATTCAAATCACTAAATATTAAATTAAATTAGTTATTTCGCAAGCAATTGCCAAGTAAACCACCACCAGGGGAAAAAGCAAATAATTCAGTCAGCTAAAAGGTTAAACATCTACCTTCACCTTGAATTCACCAAGATAATCATGCAAACTTGAGGTTAATTAATTGCAATCTCTTCTATGCAACAAATATCACAGTGAAAAAATTGTAGAGGGTTGTTTACTAGGTGGAGAAATATTGAACTAATTTTCATTTGGGTAGGCCTACACTAAGTGACTTATTTAGGTTAAAGGTATATGCAAGGTATTTGTCGACATTTACTCCATGTTTCATGTGAATTTAGGAATAAGAGCAGGATGATTTTTAGGAAAATAAGTGCTGAAAACAGGGTAACATCGGGAAAACCAGCAAATATATGATACTGTATAATTATTATAGGCCTGGATTCATTTCACTATCAACTATCACTACTGACCACCTAGAAGTACTAAGGGAGAATTGTGACGGCTGGTCAGATTATGTTTAAGTTATTGCATTTCAGTTATCAACTTTTGTTTTAGACTAGACGTTCATCTACGTATTGACATTGTTGCCAGTTTAATCCAAATGGGCGTAGTTTAAGTTAGCACCAACAAATTGCGCTGACGTAAATTACTGATTTCTGTTGCATATGAGTAAAAAAAATCTGCAACAGCTGGTCCACGTAAATTCAATGTTCAAAAAAATTGACTTTGGAATAAAGAACTAATCCATCTACTGAGCCAAGAAAAAGGTTGTATTTTAATCTGCTCGTGTCTACACTAGAATCTAGGAACACTGATGACATTGGCTGGCAGGCTAGGTCTGAGGTGAGGTGGTAAGTGAGGGAAATTACATTAACTACTCTGTAGCCATTAGATGATCATGTATAAAAGTGATATTTATAGTTTGAGTTTGAAACAATTACAGCGACAGAAGATTCTAGTATATAAGTTACACTCAATCTCCGAATTCGGACAATGTCCGAAATTTCTACCCACTCCGCGATGAGGAAAGTGCGAAATACCCACATCCCGGAGTGAGCATTTTATTCGGACATTGGCCGAAGTGAAATGCCCAGCCCGCGTTGTGGGTAAATTTATTTACTCAAATGCCAAAGTCAAAACGTTCTTCGGCGATTGAGCAAATCCAAAATACCCACTACGCGATGTGAGCAAGAGGGATTGCACACGTCGGGTTGTGGGTATTTCTAGTTTGTGCAAACGCCGAATCGTGCAGCTCACTTACGAGTCGGTCATAATAAAGAGAAAGCTATGGAAGTAGAGCTTAAAAAGAAATTTTGCAACATTACCAGAGAGGTGATTAAAATATACTTAAATATGTGCGAACCTTGCTTACTGAAGAAAAAATCTCAAAGTTTAGTACTGGTCGTTAAGCCAATCGGCCATTACGACAGCATTGAATTCACGATGTGAGGTAAAATTAGTATTAATTTTTAAATCCTTTTGCTAAATTAGAGTGACTTTAGAAAATGCTTGAGCACATGAAATGTTTAGCGAATTGTTGTACAGTATGACTAAATCTCAATAACAAATTTATAAAAACTGGCAACGTACTAAGTCTACACTCTTGGCACAAGACATGGAGTTCTGGACAAACAGTTTTCGAGAAACAAACTCCAGGTGGCTCCAAATAAATTTCCTTGCACCAAGGATGTACCGATGACCAAGTAAACGTACGAAAAGAAGCGATGGTGTCATCCGGATCCAAACAAGGTTTTATAAGGTGGTTACAAGAAGAACTGTTTGAGTAAATCATGTAAACGTATTAAGTTAAACGTAAAATGCAATTCTAAGTGCCAAGGCAGCACATCTTGTGCCAATAAGTAAAAGAAAGATGTAACAAGAACTGTGTGATAATTTGCGTTTTAAGGTTACTCCTATTTTTGTAAAGCGGAAAAACATAATTTCAATGTATTTGTAATGGGCCTTTTTATATTTGTTCCTATTCGGTAATTTGCAATTTTCTTGTATTTTCTAAAACCCTATTTATACATTAAATAATCACACACATAAATTTTATTAATTTTACCTAGTGATTGTGGGTTTCATGTAGATTTTTGGGTATAAGGTAGTTTATACAGGCTATTCGGCGTTTTCTCAAACTAGAAATACCCACAACCCGATGTGGGCAATCACTTTTGCTCACATCGCGTTGTGGGTATTTTGGATTTACTCAATCGCCGAAGAAGGTTTTGACTTCGGCGTTTGAATAAATCAGTTTACCCACAACGCGGTCTGGGCATTTCGTTTCGGCCAACGTCCGAAATAAAATGCTCACTCCGCGACTTGGGTATTTCACACTATCCACATCGCGGAGTGGGTAGAAATTTCGGACATTGTCCGATTTCGGAGATTGAGTGTAACATATATACTAGCAGATTCAAATGCACTGTTTTTGCTCGGTTCTGGGTTAGGTCTTTATTCTGGTATTTTATGTTCCCAATAACTACTTTCAATCATCAATCACTACTACCTTTGACTATCAATACAACAGTATCCAATAGTCAATGCTACTACTTAGTGTCTGATTTCGAAAATATACTAATTCGATGACATATATGATAAAATTGTTTTAATGTTTATGATGGTGGGCGATACACCAAAGCTTAATGGACACATAGAATACAAATTTTTACAATTTAGATTATTGAAACCTGACAATGTTTCAAACCACTATTTGCTGGTATATTACCTTTGTACCTAGGGTCGAAAACAAATTTCATGGAAAATTAAATTAATCAATCAAAAACTACAAAACAAAACAAAAATTGCACACACGTTCCATTTGGTAAAATGGATAAATCATATAGACTTACAGCATAACTCTTCATCTGCCTTCTTCTTACACTCTTGAAATAAAAGACAAATTATGTAAAAATTAAAAACAAATAAAAGCAGTATGGTAAAATTGTGCAGTAAAAACAATAAAAATAAATATTGAAATTGAGTTTTAATTTAAATATACAGTAGTTTAATTTTCATAGTTGAATGACTGGTCTAGATAAACTAAATTGGAAAAGTTAACAAAGAAAAGCTGACATTTTTAATGTCAAAAGGTAAGTGAGTAGGTAGCACTACAAACTTTGCACCCAAGGCAGTGATGTTGTGGGTTCTGATCCTGGTACCTACCACTAGTTATGAGTACAGTTCACCTTTATACTGTACAGGCTCACCCCTTGCTTTCGTCAAACAATGTTCCACACACAGGCCTCTGTGGCCCATGTGGATGGGCAAACGTAAGGTTAAAGACCAACCTCTTAAAAAAATCTTTTGAACAAAATATTTTTCTTTAGAACTTATTCGCTCTTACTTCATAGTCTAAATGCAAGCCTTATTGACTCTTATTCCATAGTTTGAAAAGTGGAATTTATTGACTGTCATTTCATAGTTTGAGAGAAGAAACTTATTGACTCTCAGGAAGGTGGAACTTATCGACTTGTATTTTATCTTGTGCGAGGTGAGACTTAATGACTCTTATTTCATAGTTTGAAAGCTACATACAACACCTACATGTTTTCTAGTCGGATGTTCCAAAGGCGGCTGATTGCACACTTGCACCAAGTGATCCAGTTGATAGAGTAGTTTTTTACTGGTGCTATGAACCTACACCACAACCCATCAGTTATAACCCATAACCAAACACAATACATCTTTAGACAAATAATATGTAGAGCACACATGGGAGTAAGCGCCACCTAGAAACACAAGAACTTGGACATGTTAAGTATTAGAGTATTGAGATACAGCAGGCAAAACTATAACTAGCTAACCAGTACTTAAAATTGTGTAACCTTCACCAAACAGCTGTAAATGAACCATATGCAGCAATCACAGAAAGCAGTTTAGTTAGCAATGCAGACACTTTCAAATGGTACACCTTTTTAGCAAATTTCCCATTGAAAATAAGCTAGGTACTTTGTTTATGGCATAGATTATTATGTCTACATATCTAGATGATACCTTACGTAAAACATACTCCCTTACTAGATTTCCCATCCTTATGGAACAGCTGAAGCAAATTTTATGGTTAGTTCTGTCTGGTGAACTGTAGAGGATGTGTTTTGTTTACAATTTGTTTCTTGTTATTTCAGTCATTTGAAACCCCGTTTAACCAAATAAAACCATATAATCATAAACAATAACTTATCCTCTAGTTATATAACCAAACAGTAAAGCACAAATCATGAAATTAACTCAAAAATAATAGAAACAAAATTTCGTCAATACTAGCCAACAGTGTCACTGGAAGACACGAAAAACGAACGTCAAAATTTACAATGAGATGGGAAGTCTACTTGTGTTGGTTAGTCTATGATGATACTATTGATGCTCACCATTTTCTTATCTCATAAACCAGTATTAGTAATTAATTGTTGGTTGCAGATTCGTTGTATAGTACTCAGGAACAACTATTAGATAAAAAAAAAACATGCCACATTTGAAATCTGATTAATCCTTTTTACTGCTATCACCAACAACCTAGTGACAGTGCCACCTAGATTCTCAATTGCAGACGACAGCTCCAAAACAATCATTAGCCATCCAATAGCCTAGTACCACTGCCACCTTTGTCTAGACTAGATATGTATCACCATAGATAAAACATACTCCCTTAGTAGATTTCTCATCCTAATGGAACAGCTGAAGACAATTTTATTGTTAGTTCTGTACGGTTTATGTAGAGGTCGTGTTTTGTTTACAATTTGTTTCCCGTTAATACAGTAATTTTAAACCTCGTTTAACCAAATAATACGATATAATCATAAACAATAAATTGTCCCCTAGTTATTTAACCAAACAGTAAAGCACAAATCAAGAAATTAACCCTAAAATAATAGAAACAAAATTTCGTCGACACTAGCGCCCAGTGTGGCGTACATGAACTAGACATGAAAAACGAGCTTCAAAATTTACAATGGTATGAGAAGTCTACTTGTGTTGGTTGGTCTATGGTATCACTAACCAGCACCACTGCCACCTAGATTCCTCCATTACAGTTTACAGCTGTAAAACACACATTAGCCACCACCAATAGCCCAGTACCACTGCCACCTATATACCTTTACTTTAGAGTGGATCTGTGTCAAGTAACATATATTAACCAACCCCACTGCCACCTAGATTCCTCAATTTCAGACGACTGCTGTAAGAAACAAACAGCCAACAACATCAACCTTGTACCAGGGCCTTCTAGAGACCCCTAATTCAGATTGAATCAATCTAGTAAGACGCAATAACCTCCACCAACACCCTTGCAACACTGCTACCTAGATCCCTTCACCGCAGACGACAGCTGTACGGAACAAAAAACCATCACCAACAACCATCACTGCTATACACCTTCACCACCGCAATCCAGATCTGTAAAGTAACATACATTAGCGGAGGCCAGCTTGTTGTTTCCGTAGCGGATGTACGGTGGATTGCTCGGCGGCTGAGGAAAGTTGATACAGACTTGGACTAACAGATCCAACCCATTCAGCAGAGACTGGTAAGCGTTGTAAACCTGACATACAAAATGTGTTACATACCGTAACAGAACTATTTTAATCAAACATTATTGTATAAGAAAATCTTGAGTAAGTAAACAACAAATTATGTATCCAGAAAAATAATGGTAAGTTACTCTTTTGTAGAATTTTGGTATTTTTGCCACACCAACCATAGTCATCTCCCAAAAAAGATTTGAGAGTCAACTTTTATCGTAAAATCCTACCATCTAGTACGATTGTTATTGTCAAAAATGGCTGTAAATCATGTGTACACTGTACCTATCAGTAGAAGTTTTTAACTAAACCACAGAGAAATAAGGTACAGAGGAAACATTCAATGGTACTAATATGTATGTGGTGTCTAGCACTAGTTGCTGGTGTCTAGGGCAATGTCAATAACCGCCCCCCTCGCCATCATGTACTACGAAGCTCTTGGTGGAGGAAGATCCTGTGCTAAGAACCTTGTTTGTTCAGGCTCTTCCTTGCTCCTAGCAATTATATTTCCAACAAAACATACTTGAGCTGAAAGCTCACAGTTGTCCGATAACAAGCAAGTTTCCTCTGCACTTTAATTCTCTGATACTGCCCTAACTAACTAATAAGATAATTTCTGACTTATCTACTTTATAATATAAAGTAGATAAGCCAGAAATTATCTATTATATTCACTTGCAGTTCACAATGTGTTATGAAAATGTTATCTGAATTTTTAATAGGTTGGTTGAATATGGTTTCAATCAAAATGATTTTAATTCCGACAAAATATAGGCAGTTAGTTTTCCTCAAACAGTAAAAACTCATTGTACTTGTTAAGCCTTAAGATATTGCACCAGTAAAATATCTTCATAAACTTTATATTCCTTCACCTAAAATTGTTTACAAACATAAAATATACAATGAAATATAAACCAGAAATTGACAATACATACCTCAGTGTACGCCTGACACATAGACTCGTAAAGGTTTTGGTGTTGATGTATCACAGTTTCTAAGACGATAATTTCACTTGGAATTGCCATGTTTTCACACGCTTGACTCCAATTAGGCACATTTTCTACATACTGTAAAAATAAATGATGATTTTAATAAACTGTTAAGGATTTGTGCTCATAATTGATTATTTCATCATTATTTTTCTTTGCCTAAAGACATCGAGAAAATTCCACAAAAGTATAAATTTTAATTCCTTTGTAATTCTTATGGAGAATAAATAAACTGCTGTAGTTTGCTTCTTAAAAGATATATTAATTTAATCAAATTCAGCAAATGTTGTTATTTCATACTAAGATATAAACATATAAAAACCCACTTTATCTTCATTCTTGTACAGTAATACAAAGTTATAATTTATGTTATTTCAACATTAAATTAGTCTGACAATTTTATTTTTAAGGGAAAATTTTAGTGAAAATCCAACCAGGTAAATAAATTAGCTTAGTCTGCAGGTTTGTTGCAGCGGGGGTATTTTATGTTAGTTATGTTGTATTGATGGTGTAGAAAACTTAGATAAGCCTGGTTTTGACATCATCTTAAGCTGATTAAACTGAATAATTTTGGGATTGTTAGTCAGCTGACAGTTTGTCATAAATAATCACTCAACCGTGACACACATCAAGGTTCGTATTTGAAGTAGAATAAGAAAGCAAGTTAGGTATTTAAAGGAATGACAATCTGTTTTGATTTATAAAAACTAAGATCTGCTGTTCATTTTGTCAGGACGTGTTATTCAAGTTCAAAAAACAGAAGCAGGTGAATCTAGTTCGGAACCATCAGAAGCTACTGACTTTTCAATTTCAAACTCTAACCTATTATATTATGCTACTCTACGTTTAACAATTGGGAAAATTACTTACTTGTTCAGCTTTGTGATGAAACAGAGTGGACAAAGCCAGTACAGCCGTCCGCTCGTCTAGTCCGGCCGCAAACTCTTTCCACGCTCGGTCGAGCCGAGCAGCCACCGCTCGGATGTGAGCAGCCGCATAATGACCCGTCTCCATCATACGCGATGCAACGGCCAGGATACGGTTGATGTTCACGTACACATTCTGATGGACAAAACATAAGGTTAGAATGTTACATTTAGAATAAATTAATTTGTAGCCTGTGAGAATTTGGTTTTTATTCAAACAAACAGCTGTTCAAATATTTTTGTGGATTTGTTCAAACCTATCTCACAGAACATTTTATCTGCACTTCAATGTTCATATTATTTTTCGGTTATTACATCAAAGTCACAGAAAACTTGATACAGTAGACTCCTTCTTATCCGAACTCCTCAGGACCGAGGCCAATCCGGATAACGGTTTTTCCTGTTAAACCGATGTCCCCAAAAACTTGTTATGTAACCCAAATATTTGACTTAAATTCAGGAGAGCATTTTATTTAAACACGTGATCACTGGTCTCAAATCTTTCCCACAAGAACAGTCCTTTCAGTACCACCCACTTCCTGCCGATCTAGTCCGGTTAAACCGATGTGCGGATAAAAATTGTCCGGTTAAAGAGATGTGTCATTTCCGCCGAGTGTAGTCCGGTTAAAAGGAGTCCGGATAAGAGGGAGTCTACTGTAATACTTTTTAGATTAAAAAGGATATTTTTAGCTAATAAATTAATGATATTATTTTACATAAAAATACAAATTTATTCTCACTTTCTTAAACGTATGGGTAAAAGTTTTTATCCTAAGAATAATTATTTGGAGTCCAACAAATACAAAAACTATGAAATGAAACTACCTTTATGATGTAAAATATACAGAAACGCAGAACTGCACTATACAAAATTCATAAGGACACAATACTCACAAAGAGATTTGAAACTGGCAAATCACACAAATAGCAGCAAAACAAATTTAAGCTTGCGTGGCTAAGCGACAGATTTATAACGAGATGAATGTCCATTGTTTTGGCTACTTTACCAAATGAAAGTTGATGATTTTATTGAAGTAAAAAAATAGCGAAAATTGAATGATTCTGAAACTATAAATATGAATACATTTATTAATGATATATAAGACCAAAAATGAAGTTGAGAAATGTTTGTTTGTACAGTAGAGTCTTACTATTACAAACTCCAAAATAAAAAAAATCGGCCCATTTCAAACTAATTACGGAAATAGTTTAATTTTCTTTTAATGATGTTAGTCTAAAACTAACTATGTTACAACAAACACAGTTGAAGCTAGCAATGTCGTCAAAAAGTTGGCAATGCCGTCTCGAACGTCAAAGGAGCAATATCGGCCAAGTTAGCGATATCCGTGTGCTGTTGGCAATGTTAGCAATAATGAAGAGAACTGTGAAGATTTTACCTATGGTTTCGTAAATCATACTTCAGCAAGGCTATCGATATTTCCATGAACGTCATCAATGTTGCATGAAACTTCCTAAAATTAAGTGATGATATCGCAAACGTTAACAAAGCTAACGACATCACGACACACAGTGGCAAATTCAGCAAGAAAAAAATTTGCACTGTTGCCACAGAATTTGGAGAATCTGGAGATGATACCACAACCGTTGACAAAATTGGTAATATAACCACGAACTTTTGCGAAAATTAGTTTCATCTCCGTTTACAATAGAAAAGCTTTCAATACATTAAAGTGTTGCAGCAACTGTTTTATTTTCTCCTGTGATTGTAGGGACTTTGTCAGCATATTTCGTACTTGCAGCTACACAGACATTCATTCACAAGGATCGCAAAAATTTTGCCTTTGATACGTTGTAATAATATAACGATATCTGCATATTCAAAATTTTTGCTAACATGAAAATGGTTTGTTTCCAGTTAGCTCGGAATCATAGGACTCTATTGTATTGATACAGTAGAACCTCTTTAATCTGAACTAATTGGGACCAGGGGTAGTTAGGATTACAGAACATATTGTTGTTTTTACATAACAATAGCTAAAACATGGCTAAAATTGATCAAAATTATTTTGGGAAAAGTGAAAAAATGTTTTATAAAGTAAAATACAGTGTTAATTTAATACAGTAGTAAACATGGTGAATAAACAGTACTGTAAATTAAATACAGTATACAATAAAGAACTGCTGTACTGTGTATAGAGTACAGCAATGAGGGGTTCGGATTAGTGGATGTTCGGATTACGGGGATTCAGATTAAAGGGGTTCTACTGTATGATAATGATATTTCATTCCAAAAATGTAAAAGCCCAAATCAGTGTAAAGCACTGCCCATGTTATTAGCAACTTTAATTGCAAATAAGATTTTTTGTCAGAGATTCAGCAAAAAAAAACAAATTTATTTTGCCAAAAAAATGTAAAATTAAAACTAGAAATGTTTAAAATCAGCACGAAAAGCTCAACGCTCTATTTATTAGCTAACCAGTTCTCATGCTAGTTTTTCAGCCTTCATAGTTTAAAGTGCTCACATCAAATCGTTGGACATCACTGCAAGTGGCCATCTAGTAGAAAATAAGTTATTTTGCAATCAGTGTATGAATATTTCACAATACAGGTTGAATCAACTCTAATATTTAAATGCTCTCCAAACTCAGAGCAACAATTTTTCATTCACTATCAATACTTCAACACATAAATTCTCAGCCATTTTTAGAGATGACTTATGACCATAGATTGAACGTACTCTACACGTAGAATTAATTATCATCCTTAATCTTATCTGCAGAAAATTCAGTTTTACTTATGTTCATACCTTGTAATGTACGCTTAATTTACAAATCCAATTCATATTTTAGCTTTGAAGTATTACAACCAATCAGAATGATATGTTTGTACACTACCGCTTTGCTTCTGGTTATATTCTTCATGATAGAACCTGTCTCCTGGCCCTTCTTTTACCTAAGACTGGACCGAGCCTTAAACCATTGGCCAGTCCTGCGATTTAGATGAATGGCCAGGAGACAGGTTCTAGCATAAAGAGTATAATACTAAAGAGTGAAGCCACATACTACACAATCAAACCTAAGACGAAAAAATTTTTTGTTTACAATTAGTTTCCTTGCCTCTCTCAACTGTTATTGGACACATAACATACGACATTGAAACAGAAGGACAACAAACAAACATTTTACAAGAAGATGAGATGATAACTTACAAAATCCTAAGTCAACGATTTACAGCAACAAGGAGGTATTAAGGGAGAAGATTCAGGGTTATAATAATAGTACTATTCTTTTATTAGAGATTTTTGTCCGCTTACTTGCATGGAAAAGACCCAATCTGGGACAAGAAAGACAAAATCCTTAAAACTATACACAAAAGCAATAGGTACTGTCACAATCCAGAATGATGCGCTTTGCAGTGTCATCGGACTGGTTGCAAAGTCGACACTCCTAGTCGTCGCAGACTTGGGAATATGAGAAGAGCCCTGTTTGGTCTAAAGCAGCCAGGTAATGGACCAGATGCTAACATTGAGCAAAAGCTCCTGGACCTAGTCAAGGACGAGGGTACAGGCTTACCTAGTTAGTGGCAAGTGGGGCATACACAATTAGCTTCGGTATACGTGCCAGGACCTTGAGTTTGTTCCCTCATACAATAAAATACAAAAGGCACTTACAGGCTACCACCATTCAACCTAAAGACATGTATTTCCCTTCCTAGGCTGAAATACTGTCAGTGACCGAAATAGTCTATAGTACAGTACCGTATAAAGTTATGTGGTGTAAATACTTTTGTGTTCCTTGATCCAAAGCGGCCCTTTTCCCATTATTTAGGTAAGTCTGCTATCCTGACAAAAATACTTAAACCTTATGTTATTATGGTTATTGGTGAAAAGATTTGTTTTTTTTCTGTCTATACTGACCATGGAGCTCATGGTGAAGTGGTTATGCTCCTCCTGTAGTTCCTTGGCGAGCTGGTATGAGTGGCCGATCTCTACGTAGTTCATGAGGAACACATCTCGGTTGTGACAGATCCAGTCAAACATCTGCAACACCAAGTTTGAGTAACTGAGTAATTTTCTAGACACAGTTTAAAGCAAAAGGACTTTCTAACGGATGTAAAAAACTAGCAAGTGACTAAATATTATGATTTTGAAAAACATCAGAGTCCAGGGGCAAATAGATACAAACATAGCATTGATGACAAGAATGGAAGTCAAGAATGAATGCATCATATCATTGACTAGTCAATGATCGTATCGCACAGTACCAAAACTGGTTCTTTAACCAAAATTGATTCTTGGTACCAACACTATTAGTATTTTTTAGTACCTAACTTAACAGCACTCGCATTCTTTAAAAATAGTTTGTTAAAGTTTACATTTACCCATGTTATAAAATTATATTGGCCAAACATAAACAGCTCTCTAATTTTGTGATTTATAGGTTAAGTTGTAAATGCAGTTCAATAATTAAGGAGACATAAGGGGTGAGATATTTTCTGAGGGGGATAGTTTTGCAATCACAGGAGATGGAGATTTCTTTGATGTGATCCCAATAGATGATCATAGATATTGCCATATTGGCAAAAAATTCTCACCAGTATTGCCATGATCCCAAAGAATGCTAACAGATCTTGCCGTTATTTTAGAGTAGATTTTGGTACATTCACCTGATGCCAATATGTGCGAGTTGGTACAGAAGTACCAGTTACGACATTTTATCATTTTTAAGTCAATTCATAGCACTGGTACTTTTCCCAGGAACTGGTAACACCAAGAACTGCCTCAGGTACCAACACATCTCTAGTTTCGAATAAAAGTTCGACTATATGATACAACACATTCTACCAACCTTTTCACAGTCTTGTTCAAACAACCTCAACTGAAAGCACTGGTCCAACTTCAGCTTTTTATGGTGCCAAAGTTGGAGCAGGTGGTTTTTTGAGGTTCGGATGGCTTCGAGATTGTGCAGAATCTGAGGTACGGCAGCCTGTAGGTCAGGATTGGACACTGTAGAGCTGGCCTCACTGTCTCTGCCTGAGTACCCACTGTCATAGCCACTGTTGCTGTCTCCAGACAACCTGCAAAGCATGAGTGATTAAAAACCATATAGCAGGGGAAGAACATGAGATGGAACATATACTCTGAACTAATCTGTTCAACTTCCATCCAAACAGATCACCACAGAATAATCAACTCCTTGAGTGCTGCACCAAAGGCTTTGCTCTGGAAACTGAAACCTTCAATCTACAGTATGGTTAGGTTGGAATGGGTTACGTTAGGTTAGTGTTAGGTAGGTTAGGTCAACGGTACCATCATGTTGTTCTTGCTAAAATATTTCGTGTGATTCGGCCGAGTTGTTGTATAAGTAAGATCTGTTCGCTTTAACATCAGTAGTATCAACAGTTTGATTTTTAGAATCCATATAGGGTTATGGCAACAAATGCGTTGTCAGTTAGGGAATTCTAAAATCACTATTGATCCTAAAGAACTGTGAATCATACGAATGAAGATGGATTTTCATTTTTATATACCTCTGCAGCAGACGCTGGCCCGCCACATCAATGTCTTGCACAGGTGCCTTCATGATCTTCTTTTTCATATCGTTGTGAAGGTCAAGCGCATGTTTGGCCCCAGCCACATCATCACCTAGATCGTTGCGGCTCAGGTCTTCTTGCAGATCATCTAGACGATCTAACAGATCAGCTGCCTGCCATGTAAAGTCCTCCAGAGCCTAAACACAACATGTCATTAGTAACTTTATGACAACATGACATATTGTGGAAGCGAGAATTATGAGGTGATGTAATGCTGGGTATTGCCCAGAACTTAATGCAATCTGCCAAATGAAAAATAATATTTATTGTATTGAACTCTTGCAGGTACCTCCTAACAGAGCCTCTTTCGTTCTTGACTCACTACAAAGCACCTCCTTTTCCACTATATATGAATACAATATCTGTAGATGCTTCTCTTTCAGTATTCCCTACTATTTGATCTTCAGAGGTCTTCCAACTTTCCTTTTTCCATCATGTCTCGAGCCAGATTGATGATACCTTTCCTTATCCTTTATATTCAACCAAATCAACTTCGTCATGGCATTCTAAGTTAATTTGTTTCTAATACTGTTGACACATCCAAACTGTTTTATATTTGACTTTATCTTACTAATATTAATGTGAAAGTTGGTGTGTTTGTTTTAAGTTCAATCACGCATTAACTACTGGACGGATTGGGCTGAAATTTGGTATGATGATAGCTCATATTGCCGATTAACATATAGACATATTCTTATCTCAAAAATCCTTCTGGGCTCCGCCCCAGTGGCTCTTTAGTTCCCCACGTTAACCTTGAGTATTCATTTATAAAGGAAATTAAAGAATTTATTCAGCTGTTTCAACTAAAAACGTTGGTTATATGATATGCAAAAGTATTAAAAAGTTATAAGATTTACCAACAGGGTGCAGCATTATTATTTTTTTTTCATTTATTAAAACAGCTAATTTGAACTAAGCAGCAACGAAAAGCTGCGATATTCATTGAGAACTGTCAAAGTAGGATTGTTTACAGTTATGTTTATGTTTTTAATGTAATAAATAACTTGTGATATTTTGCAATTTTTTTTATATTTTTTTTCTCTACTGTTTAGGTGAAGTGAAACAATAGACAGACAATAGAAACAATAGAACTTGCTTAAGTGGTAGAACATTATGGCTATGGTAGATGTGTAATACTATAGTATACCGTAAATTTAAAGAAGCAAATTTCATCAAACTGTGTAATTTGCCCCATTGCAAACTCAAAGCTTGAGTATAACTGCAATAAGAGTTTTAAACTTATAGGCCAATCCCGTACGAAGGACGGGTACTCTGCTTGTAACATCATATAATAAAAATCCTTGAAAAAATATAAGTATCATCTTGAACAGTATGGTTGTATTCACAATATGAAAATATCCAATACTCTTACAAATAAGTGGTTATAGTTCTCATCTGAATTTTAAAATAGAAAAAATCTACCTCCCCTAAAGTTTGTAGAGTAAATTGGGTGTATTACCTTTATAGTGCTCGCCTTCAATTCTCAAGTTCATTGGTTCATTTCCAAGCAAGATACATTATGAACTCAGGAGATTCCATTTGTCATTGGGATATCAATTAACGATGTATCAAAAATATCTAGCCGAAGATAGACAACAAGATCAGGATTTGGATGATTCCTTTTAATAGACAACACCGCTAAGATAAAATAAACATACAAAATAACACTTACCAGTCTCATCTCGATCCACTGACTGTGATCGTAATGCAGGGTTCCCTCTAAATCTGACGTCAGTTGTGTTGTGTCGATGATCTTGGGCAGAGCTTCCAGGCTGATCATGTTGGTCTGCAATGGAAAGTTTCTGATTAAATTGCTACTTTATTAATTTTAAAAGAAATAAATAACCTAATATCGGATAAACATGGCATAATAAGAATACAAGGCATGAAGTGCTTTGATCTATGAAGCTTAGTTACTAACTTTGATCAGCTGTTTATTTCGTCAGGAATGTTTATTATATCCCCAACTATCAAGTATAGATGGGTGGGCTGAGTTTGAAATCATCAAAAATCTAATGATTCTCAGGATCGAATTCGTTTTTAAAAACCCTTCTCATTGCAACTAAAGAACTTAAGAGGAAACCCATCTAAAAACTTTGACACACAATTTTATGTCATGATCGAGATACTGTAAAATGTATCAAGAAATAAAGCTAATTGTATTTCAATACAAATCCGATTCAAAGTCGGATTTTGAAGGTGTATTACTGAATATTCATCAAGCAATTCCCAACAGCTACATGAAACATTTATTGACAACTGTTCCCAACCAATATTACCTTGAATACCTCTCAACACCTAACGCTATAGTTATGTTCTACAGACTTAATTAAATTCCAAACCAACGGACAGAGTTTTAATATTCATCTTGCCTTTTGAGTTATTTACATTTTTTTAATACAACTACTGCTATTAATTTTGTTTGTAGTTAGAAAGGTGTAAGTAAAATACTGAGGAAAGTAGGTAAGCTTATTGTTTGTTAAACAGCTGATCTTGGTAAAAAAACAACATTATACAATATTCTTAATCTAATACAGTACCCATGCTTTTCAACCATGGGTTTACAGCACAACTATGTCATTTTAATGTGTACAGGAATTGATCCTCTGAAACTGGCTAGAGTCTGGTGTAACTAGTGATTGTTAGGTTAAGTTAGGTTATGAGTTGAATTTACCAGACGATAAATGCTCAAGCTGGGTTAAATTATGTTTGGTTTTACGGGCAAATATTACGATGGTTGGTTACAGTTAGATTAGATGTGATTAAATCTACAAGAATATAAATAGCCTGCTATAGTTCTGTTAGTTTATGTTACATTGTGCTTAGGACTGTTTGGATTAATTACTGATAGCTTAAGGTTTGTAGCACTGATGAATGTTAGGTAGATGGATGCTTTGTTAGTTAAATTGAGGGAAGGTTAGGGTTTTTTTAAGCTAAGAAATGTAGGCTCATTACATTGAAATAAGATTAGATTTCGTTGCACTATGGAATGTCAGGCTGGTTACAGTTGGGTTAGGTAAAACTCCCTACCTCAAACTTGTACTTGTGACTGCCCAGTGATGTGCGCTGCTTCTGCCAGAAGTTGTCGGGTTTGATGATGTACGCGACGTGGACGGACCCCGGGAAATGTTCCTGCAGGACTTTCAGGATAGGCTTGACAGTGGACCAGGTCGCTCCTCTCATGTCAATCACCACTGTGAACCCGATCTCTCGCACATCCTCCCTGTAACATGTTGACCAGTTCAATCATGAGTAAAGACAATAGATTATTGACGATTTTAAAGACCCAGTTATGATTCATCATTTGATTTTTAATTAGAAGTCCTAGATCTAGAGAAACTACTGGGAGTCATTAGGCAAAACAAAGTGTAAAAGGTATAAAATTACCTGAGTACTGCCAGAGTGATCCTTAGTCGTTACGGATTACGCGTTTCAAAGACTTCAAGGACTCGAGGTCCTCGAAACGCGTAATTCGTAAGGACTAACAGGATCACTTTGGCAGTACTCAGGTAATATTATACCTTTTATAGCTTGTACTGTGATCCAGAGACAAAACAACTCAAAATATGAAAAAAAGTGCCTTACTTTATTTTACAACAATCTATTGCTCATAATCAGGTAAAATAACAAAATTGTTTTCATATTAATGTAATGTGAACAAACACCTTATTTGACTTGGTAAATTGATTTGGTTTGATTTTATGCTCAACAGCCTAAAATATGTCCCCACCTACTTCACACAATACTATAAATTGAATTATAATATATTTTAACTAAACCACTTTGCGTATTTGGCCAGTTTTTAAAGTCACCATGCAGAGCTGACATTTGTACATGTATCTATTTTTTTTTCTTTAGGATTAACAAAAAAAATATTTTTATTAGGAACTCATCAAAAAATATATACATTATTAAAGGTATGTAACCTAATCAAATAACTTTTTTATTACATAGAAGCTTGGACACTGTATGTTTGGATAACAGGAGATTTGCTTTATTTCGATAAGTCTACTGTTAAATCATTAGCAGTTCAAGATCCCCTCTGACAATATCACCAAAATATAGGTATTTAACATAGCCAACCTTATTAAGATCCTGATATCTATTAAAATAACCCAAAATAAACTATATAGTACTAATTCCCCAAAACTACCATTCTTCTACACTCATTGATAATTTGTCAATGCCAGTTCCTAATTAGCTCTTTTAGTCCCCAATTAGGCAAAGTTTAGCCAAGAAGAGGGGATTTTAGGTGGTCAATATACTCGTAATATTACATTATAGGAAACTGTGTAATTATTTTTAGTCCAATAGAGTTGGTAACATGTAGTAACAGAAGTAATAAATGCGCCGTAAAGATCAAGAGATGAACTAGCAAACTTCAAATCCCACAAGCACAAACTTAAGACTACGTCTGGTAAATTATTAGGTCCCAAGACGGACTTTAGGACTTTGATGCGTAATAATTACCATTAGCATAATCATATTGGGCTAGCTTATGGTCTTACTGGCTTACACGCTAATTAATATAAGCATAAACCCACTATTGAATAGAGGTCATGGCTCAGATAACAAATTAAATTGAACAGGGTAAGTTAACAGTATTATTGTTGTTTATACCTGTCTAAAATCTCCCCCAATTGTAAAAAAGTATTTTTCGATCTAGTGCCAATATCGGTGGTGTTTTATGTTGAACTTTATTAGACCATTGGTGCTAAGAGGTAACTATTCTACTTCAGGGCTTTATGAATACTGTATTAAAAATTTAAAATTCACATAGCTTAGTATTACTGGACAGAATAATGCATAATGTATGGAAGAAGTTTGTAAAGTAGCTTACATGTACCTAACTACGTAATTTAGTACTTTACTTGTAACCTCAATGCTGTAGTGTAAAACATTTTATTTTTTGCAGTTGCGGGTTTTACAACTACTTGTGCGACATTTTGACATAAATTGACAGTGTATTTAAGTTATTTAAAAGTAAAAGTCTAATTTACTTCAGCAAAGGATTTTATCACTTCTATCATATAACAGAGCGATTATTATCTCCGTTTATCTATATACTATTATAAAGAAGAGGTGGTGTCTGTGTGTTTGTATGAGCTAATCTCAAAAACTACTGAACCTACTGGGCTCAAATTGCACACAAATGAAGCTACAGTTCCGAGGATACATATAGAACTATTCCCGCTTCGATATTGTCCTAGGGCTCTGCCCCGTGGGCATTCAAAAATTTGAGTTGAGAGATTTAAAAGAAAATATTGATTGATGGTATCCATGGTAACAAAGAACAAACCTACAAAGTTTAAAAATGTAAACAAGCAGAACTAACTGTCAAATGAATTTTGATTTCACAATTCCACACAGCTGGTTCAAACATATTAAATACTGCACGAATATTAGAACAGAGAGGGTAAGGATTAAAAATTTTAAATAATGATGTCACTAGCCGGAATGTAAACATTATTTAACATCACTTAAATGGAGCTGTCAAACCACATGTTAATGTGATTTCATTAGTGCATGATTCTTTCAGTTACTTCATTTGTTTATGTTTATGATCTATTATACTGAGTTTGTACTAATATTTGTGAAATGCTGTAATAATATTTTACAGGGAATAATTCGTTGTAAAATAAATCATTCATGGATATAAGAAATAATTAAGATTCTATAATCATTGCCAGGCCATTATCCTGAGTTTTATGAGGTTTTTTTTTATTTATTTCTGTGTAAACAGCAATTTAATCCCCCTGCCGCAGCAAGTCTATAGACTGAGTGAATTTCCATTTTCCTGATTATAATTTTACTAAAATATTGTTGTAGAAAATTACCCTATTTTCCATATTTATTTATATTTTCCTATTTTTCGGTTTGTAACTGTTGTGATAGTTTTTTTGTTTACAGTGCAAACCATTAAACACGTTCTTTTACTGTACCTTAAAATCTATCATTGGTTTTGTATCGTAGGTAGCCTAAATAAGTATGAACGGTATTAGTTAACCAAAACGTACTATTATCGAGTTAAGTTATACTAAGCTATATTTTGTTTCTGAATTAAATGGTAGGAGTGATACCATTTGGCATTTTCAAAGAACCAACATTGTCTCTTTTGCATACTGACCCCGTTGCAAGGCACGGGTATAGCTGCTAGCAAATACGAATAGTAGCGCTGGTTTGCAGTAGGCTAGCTGTTCAAATAACAAGCGACCGGTGCTACTAATTGTGACCAACGGGATTATTTAGTATCTTATATAAATTAGAGTTAATCACTACGACCACAAATGTCTTCTTTCTACATAAGTTCCATAATACCCACACCGCAGCAAACCTGCAGCCTAAGCAAAATTCCATTTGTGTGACTTTATTTTCAATTAAATCTAATTCAATAACATTAGATTTAACGATTACCTAGGTTTGCTGCCTGCAGGGAGGGTAACAAAGTGTGATTTATAGGCAAATATTAGGTATTAGCTTAGTATGAAAGAAAGAAATTTGCCAAGTTTGATAAAAATATATACATAAACGAGCAATATTACAACAGTTTACTTATCCTAACTTACTAATATTATGAGTAAAAAGTTTGGATGTATGGATGTATGGATGGATTGATGGATGGATGGATGGATGTTTGTGACAAATACATACTTAAGTAAATACTAAACCGATAAGGTTGAAATTTGGTGTGATGATAGCTGACATTCCCGATTAATATATAGACATATTCTTACCTCAAAAACACTTTCAGGATCCGCTCCAGTGGCTCTGGCTCTGGATTTTCTCATGTTAGCCTTATGAGTATTCATATTAAGGGAATAAAAGAATTTTGTCAGCCGTTTCAACTGTACAAGTTGGTTCTATGATATTAAATAGCATTAAAAGTAAGGCTTACCAACAGGGTGCAGCACTATTATGTTTTTTGCATTTATTACAACAGCTAATTTGAACCAACTAGCAACAAAAAGTTGTGGTACACAATGAGAACTTTACTTTGTCCATGGTTTAGGTGCAGTTGTAGAAAATTATGGCTATGGTAGATGTGTGCTCTACACTATAGGATACCGTATAAATTTAAAGACCAAATTTCCTTAAACCGTGTCCTCTCCCGTAACTGCAATAAGCATGTTATATTTCTATGCCAACCCCGTACGAAGGACGGGTACTCTGCTAGTAGTCTATAATGCTTTTAATGGGGCCTCAGTGAACTAATGTATAATATAACAAAATATGATATGATGATAGTATCAATGCGCTATATTGATTTAGTGTATTCGCTATTGATATAGCTTATGCGCCTCTCATATTGTTTGGACGTAGCCACATAGTTATAAGTAGCAAGAATGAAAGTTATGTTTGTTGCAACTTGTAGCATCGTAACAGGTTGATATGACAAACATAATTTTAGACGTTACTCGAAACCAAAACATGTTTTGTTATAAAACATAGTATTTTATTTACGGTTAAAAATCATTAGAAACAGAGTGAAAATTAAGTGATGTATTTTTGAACAGTTCAAATACAGCTTATTTGCTGCATAGTCTGATTTTCAAGCTATCTATCAGCAATGTCAAATAGGTTTTAGTAGTCATAACTCATTTTCAGCGTTCTTCTCAACAGTTTTATAAGGGTTTTAAACTATGGCAAACACAGTTTATCATGTTTACTGTAAGCTTTCTGTTTTATAAATTGAAGTCAAAAAATTGACACGTGAGTAAGGCCAAATCTAGGCCTATAAAAATGAAAGAACTTTTGGTTAGCGATAGATAGTGGGTAAAAAACAGTCCTATTAGGATTAGCAAGAAAATCGTATTTTGAAATTTGTTAAGCCGTTTAAAAAAGTAAACTTGGTAAATATATTGCAAATTGGCGATTATGTTTAAATTGCCAATTAGACTAAGTGTTTACAAAATGTAATATTAAGCTGACTCCTAAACACTATCCAATAACCATGGGATTATTATAAGGTGCTCTATGTGCCATTTCCAGATAATCATTTCAAAGATGTAGCCTTCATAGAAACAATTGTAGAAACAATAAAACTGAACTTATTGAAAAAACTGTGATATTGTAAAATAAATTAGGCAAATTTTTGTACGAATCGGTGTATGAATTTTTGTACTGTGAAGTTGAACATTGTTGCTGATGTCATCAGTTTTGTAAACATTTTGTATTGGTGTATCGCCGTTTGTAAAATAGATAAATAATAAAATTATTTTTTAT